TTGATCTCTTGGTTCTGCCCATACTTGTTGAAGTACTCGCAAGTATGTAACAGTTTTGGTATCGGAGCAGACCAAACGATGGATCTGCTCACCAGGTAAGTCTGATTTAGGAATAGATTGCTTCTTCGATCTTCCAAATCAGCTCTGTATTACTATCGAGATTCAAAGTTGCAAAATTTTTTCTTTTTTCGGTATTCTGTTTAATTCGGCATTCCGTTTCGATTCGGTATTCTGACTTTCCATTCGGGATTCTGTTTTAAATCGGTATTCTGTTTAATTCAGTTCCCGATTAATTGGTATTCTGGGTGAATCCGATATGCTGTTTTAATTCGGGTTTCTGATTCTAATTCGATTATTAGGTTTAAATCAGTATTCTGTTTAATTCGGCATTCTGATTTCAATTCGGTATTCCGTTTTTAATTCGGCACTCTGTTTTAATCCGGTATTTCGTTTTTCCAAATCAGTATTTCCGTTTTATTTCGGTATTGGAATTAGGGTCACGAAAATTTTCGGTTTTTCGATCAACTTGGGAAATTCGAACGTTTTGGAACCGTAAAACCGGAAATTCCGCGGAGTCGCGGAAAATTAGGGTTGAGATCCGGAATTTTCGCGATTTTTTTTTTCTTTCCCTAGTTTGAGAAATTCCGAAAACGGACTTAGGCCTTTAAAAATCGGATTTTGTAGGTTGAAATTCCCAAAATTTTACGTTTTTTGAAAATTCGAGTGTTTTTCTTCCTAATTCTCCGAATTTTTTTCTGGCAACACAGTTCGGAATCGGTCCCTCAGAATTGCAACTTCCGGGTAGTTCACTAATCAACGGTGAACTCCCGGATCATACATGATCTCAACGGATACCTAATCTTGTCACAATTTAAAATTCGTTAATTATCATTATCGCATTATTGTTTTATTGATTATTATTAAAGAGAATATTAATTCGTTATTAATCATTAATTAAATTTTATTGATAATTAATTTGTTATCTCTTATTACGAATTTTTGAGTTGTGTCGGGGAAAGTTTATCTTTTCTGTTTGATTAGGTGTCTAAGTCCATCAGTGGGACAGGGACTGTATACGAATTGCTTCATTGTTCTACCCCTGTTCCCACTCTCCCTACCCTCCCCGTACTCTGTGACCACCGGGACTTCTCAAGTACCACATCAGCTCAGGCTGATGTCGATGGAACAGGACACCGGGGCACTGCCCCGACGCAGTGCCAGGCTTGCAGTTCGTAGCCGTTCTGTGGTGCCTCCATGAACTAAGTATCAGCAACAACGACTCAGCAGGCGGACGGCTCCAGCGGCATCAAGTACAGCTACGGCAGTACCGGTTACCACCGGGGCTCTTCCTGCATGTCCGGTCCAAGGGGCCCTTGAACCATTGGCTGATTACCTTCGGCGGCTACAGGCATTTACGGATGCCGTAGCTACCGCTAAGGCACAGCAGGAGGCAGCAGAGGCAGAACGTCAGCGGCTGGCCAATGAGGCGGCAGCCCAAACTCAGCGGACTGCTGAGGCTGACGCACCGGCACGAGATAGACGGAATGCCGCCAGCACGGAGTCCCTGATTCAAAATGAGAATCAGTGGACAACGCTACTCCAAGGCATGATCTTTGTGCCTACGGACGCGCAGGCGGATCCGACACCGGCGGAGGCAGAGAGAAGTAACCTGGCTAACTTGATGCTGAGCATGATGAGGGGAGTAATGTGGAACAACAAACTGCTGCAGGCACACCTGCTCACGGAACGACAGCACAAACAGAAGCAGCAGCAAGACATTGCCGCGTTAACAGCTGCCGTCCGCGCCGCAGCAACACAGCAGCAGCAACAGCATCAGCTGTTGAACTCCACTCTCGCATGCATCAACAGCATCGAGGCTAAGGCCTCAGCAGCGCCAGGCTGCACGACAGACACGGCGAAGCAGCTCGGGGAGCGCATCGACCATGTCGTCACGATAATCGGCGAACTAGGTGCCTTCACCAGTCCGGCCACGATCAGCAGCACGGTGGCCGCCATCAAGACGGACATCACCAAACTGCAGTCGCAACCGGCAACAGCTGCGAAGGTATACAAGATGCCACGCTTCAACATCGGCAAGTTCGAGGACTACAACAAGACCAACGCTTTGACATGGTGGCAAGCCTTCCTCACCAAAGCGTCCTGCCACAAGGTCCCAGCCGAAGACATGATGAAGGTACTATACCTCCAACTCAATGGAGGTGCGCAGGCGTGGACGAACCACCTCGCAGTTAACAAGGGAACCACTATCGCCGAGCTACACAAACACCTCACGTGGGAGGATTTTGAACAGCTGTGGTTCACTCGATTCATGGTCCGCAACGTTCTGAAGGCGGCCATGAACGAGGTCTACACTTGCTCACAAGGAAGCATGCCAACTCGAGACTGGACGATCAAGTGGCAGAAGATAGTGACCACGCCAGGCTTCGATTTGAGCTTCCCAAACCAACGATCCGAGTTCTTCTCGCGATCGTGCGCAGGACTGCGAACCGCACTCGGCAACGAGTACGATTATGCCTCATTCCAGTCTATTCTGGATCGTGCGAACCTGGTCATCCAAACGGACGACAAGGCCGCTAACGAGAAGCAGTCCCAGCCGCACTATGTGGCTAAGCAGGGCCACCAACGACCGACACATAACAATGCCGTGATTTCTGAAGAATCAGTCGATCTCCACGCTGCAGCAGCATCCTCGAGTGATGGAGGAACTGTCGCAGCGCTCCCGCCGAAGCGTCCCAAGAGAGTTCGAAAGAAACCGGCGACACAAGCGACGACATCGACGGGAACTGGGCAGCAGCCATGGACGGCATACAACACAACCAAGGAAGTATTTGACTTGCGTTAACGGTACAGATATTGCCTATGGTGCAATAGTGTCACACACACTACCGCACAATGCCCGGACAAGGGCAAGGCACGCGTAGCGCGTCCAGCTAACTCGGGAAACTGAGTTATGCAAAGAGAGGGGCGACGCCTCTCCTCACTCCGCCGGAACCGGTTGCCTTGCTAGCAACCGATGTCACTACCGGGGAGCATGCGTTAGTCGCTGATTCTCGCGCTACGTACGAGGATTATGTCACCCAACTGGTACCACTATTAGACCAGCCGAGCCACGTGCACTTAGATTGCGTATGTGCAGCCTGTACACCGTCGGCAAGTGATCCGGTCAGCTCGCCACTGATTTTCGAGGACTCGACGGCGTGGTCAAGACTTGAGGAGCTTGACCCGCTCACGAGAGAGGACTTCACTTGGATGCCTCTACCCTCAACCGGAACATTGCCAAGGCCACATTGCAACGCCTTGATGACAAATCTACGCTCTTATTTGCACGCTACAGTACCAGCTCCGTTGACGGACGACGGGGTAGCGGTTGTCGATCTCCGCTCCTATCTTGCGAAGATTGACCGCGAGTACGCCACCCTAAGGTACGCCGAAACCGACGCTCCTTTGCTCTATATCCGCATTCAAATCGGAAAGGCAACCTGTAGTGCCTTGATTGACTGCGGAGCGTCTCGCAACTTTATGAGCCAAGCCTTTATGGCCCACGCAGGCCTTGGCCCGCGCGTTCGATGGAAGACGCAACCTACGCAAGTTACACTTGCGGACGGCCGCACGCAAAAGTCAATTGACCGATGCGTCGATGACGTTCCGGTATACTTTGCGCCACTTGCGTGCGAGCCGGTGTCTTTTGACATCCTCGACACCAAGTTCGACATGATTCTAGGCATGTCTTGGTTGCATAACGCCGATCATCCGGTGAACTTCCACGACCGGACCGTTCACATCCGTGATCGGAACGGAGTGTTAGTCCCATGTACGGTCGCGACCCCACACACTTCGATTGCTTGTCACGTGGTTTCCGTTGCGAGAATTCGCGACGCCATAGCTCGCAATGACGTCGAGGAGATGGGCCTTGTATTCTTGCATGCTCTCCCCTCGCCGGACGGACCAGCCGCGTCACCGCCAGACCCACGCATTTCTCACCTCTTGGACGAGTATGGAGACGTCTTCGAGGCTCCCACCGGAACGGTTCCGGATCGGCCCATACGTCACGGGATCACTCTCGAGGCTGGCGCCGTCCCTTCGCGTGGATGCATTTACCGCATGAGCGAAGAGGAACTCGAGGTGCTTCGCGCACAACTCGACGACCTCCTGGACAAGGGCTGGATTCGCCCTAGTTGTTCGCCTTACGGTGCCCCTGTTCTCTTCGTCCGGAAGAAGAACAAAGATCTACGGTTATGCATCGATTATAGAAAACTTAACGCACAAACCGTAAAGAACGCCGGCCCTCTCCCTTGGATCGATGATCTCCTTGAGCGGTTAGGCGGCGCGACGTACTTCCTGAAGTTGGACTTGAAGTCGGGTTACCACCAGATTGAAATCCAGCCTCAAGATCGGTAAAAAAACACGTTCAAGACGCGGTACGGGCACTTTGAGTGGGATGTCATGCCATTTGGCCTCACCAATGCCCCCGCGACTTTCCAAGCAGCTATGACGACTGAGTTTCACGACTTGCTCGATCGCAGCGTCCTCATCTACCTCGATGACATTTTGGTTTATAGTAGGACATTGGACGAGCACATCGTACACCTTCGCGCTGTTTTGGATTGTTTGCGACTGGCCAAGTACAAAGCGAACCTCGACAAATGCGAGTTCGCCAAGCAGGAGCTTGAGTACTTGGGTCACTATGTTACGCCGAAAGGCATTCGTCCCTTAGCGGACAAGATCCAAGCCATCGTGGATTGGCCGGAACCCCATTGCACGACGGATGTACGCTCTTTCATGGGTTTGGCTGGATATTATCAGAGATTCGTCGAGTCATACTGGAAAGTGGCCGCCCCCTTGTCGAGACTCCAGTCCCCAAAGGTGCCCTTCGAGTTCGACGATGCAGCCCATGGCGCGTCCACTACGTTGAAGGCAGCGATGCAAGCCGCACCTGCCCTCCGTATATACGACCCCACCCTTCCCACCCAAGTGACTACGGACGCTTCGGGATACGGTATTGGTGCGGTGTTGGAACAGTGTCACGAGGACGGTTGGCATCCGGTCGAGTATTTCTCCCAAAAGGTGCCTCTCGTCAACACCCTCGAGGACGCTAGGAAGAAAGAGCTACTCGCGTTCATCACCGTTCTCAAATGGTGGTGCCACTTTCTTCTCGGCCGTCGGCGTTTTAAATGGAATACGGACAACAATCCGTTGACCTTTTATAAAACACAGGATACAGCCACTAACACGATCGGTCGATGGATGTATTACATCGACCAGTTCGACTTTGATCCGTGCCACATTCTCGGTCCCGCCAATCGAGCCGCGGACGCCCTCTCACGACGGCCCGATTTTTGTGCCATTGTGACCACGACATTCGACCTCGATGACGATTTGTAGCCGCATTTCGTCAAAGGCTACAAGTCCGATCCGACTTACTCTACACTTTACGCGGAGCTTTCATCGAATCACCCGCCGGCTAGCCATTATCGGATTTCCGACGGGTTCCTTCTCCTTCACACGAGAGGAAAGGACTAGTTAGTTGTGCCCCAAGATCGCATCTTACGGACTCGTCTTCTCGGCGAATTCCACGACGCACGACTTTCGGCACACCTTGGCGTAAACCGCACATTAGCACTCCTCCGCCAACGTTTTCATTGGCCCGATGTCCTTCACGACATCACGAGGTACATCGAGTCATGTGCAGTTTGCCACCGTAACAAGGGTCGATCTCGAGTCCCCTTCCGCGAACTGAAACCGTTGCCGATTCCTCGGGCACCGCGCCTCTCCATTGCTATGGACGTGACAGGCCCGTTCCCCCGCGATCGCCTCGGCCATGACGGTATTCTCATGGTCGTTGACCGTTTGAGCAAGTATGCTCGCTTTCTTCCTTGCAAGTATCAAGCTGCAGCACCTGAGCTCGCACGACTCTTGCACACCGGTTGCATTACCAACCAGGGTGTTCTGGAAGATATAGTGAGCGACCGAGATACTCGCTTCATGTCGGCCTTTTGGACTTCCCTTATGGCTGAGTCCGGCACGACAATGAAGCCGAGCTCGGCTCGACACCAGCAGACGGATGGCCAGACGGAGTGAGCACACCAGACCGCCCAGATGATGTTGCGTATGCTCATCCGTCCCGACCAGAAAGATTGGGTTGACCGGCCTCCCAACATCGAGTTCGCCTATAACACTTCGGTGCACCTGGGGATCTGCGTCACACCATTCGAGTTACATCATGGTGGAGAGAAAGCACGGATCTTCGCTGATCTCCTTCTGCCACAGGCCGCCGACATAGACGTCCCTTGCTTTCCCGCTTCCATTCGGAAGTATCGGGACTGGCTGATCAAAGCCCGTGCAAATATGCAAAAGGCTCAAATCCGCATGCAGCAGCAAGCTAACCGACGTCGACTTCCATGTCCTTTCCGCGAGGGAGATCTTGTTTGGGTCCTCTCCGGGGAATTTGCGTTCGAGCAGGACGTTTCGCGCAAACTCCTTCCGAAATGGTTCGGACCATGGGAAGTTACTTCTGCCGTTGGAGACGACCCCGCAGGTCCTTCCTTTGTGGTCAACATTCCACCGCACCTTCCAGTGCACTGGGTCTTCCACGTGTCGAAGCTGGCCATCTACACGCCACCTTCAGCTGACGAGTTTCCCGGCTGTCGATCACAGGATCCGCCTTCTATGGACGGACATCAAGAAGTCGACCGAGTCATCACGCACCGCATGTATGGCAACAAGCCAATGCAGTTCAAAGTCACATTCAAGCAATGTGCGCCTGACGACACTCGGTGGATCTCTAGTGCAGACTTGCAGACTTCTGCACCCCTTATCTTCGCCGACTATGAGAAGCCACGCCTTGCCAAGGAAGCAGCTCGTCCCGCCCGACCCACCCCGGTATCGGACAGACAACTCTGCCCTTGCAGGTAGCTCAGTCTTTTAAGAGGGGGAGTGTGTTACATCTTCGACGCCACACGGGTCCTACCGGACCCGACTTAGGGCCAGAGGGACACAGTAGGGCCTAAAGGCCCGG